ACACACACAAGCAGCCCAGGTAAATGGCCAGAGGGACTTAGGGGGACAGAAACTGTACCTTCGGCTTTAAGCCCAAACCACCTGTTCCTTCCTTACTAGAATTCTGCACTAAGGTTTCAGCCCCAAACAGGGCTAATCATAAAAGGTTCATTCATTTTTCTCTGCAATTGTCCCTTGTGTATGAATCTCCTTGGCATTCGAAACTGGAGTCTGCCTTCTGGGTCTCTTCATCTCATACCAACCAACAGCATCCAACCCTCCTGCTACTTCCAAGGTGGCTGCAGGAGCGAGGAGGACAGGAAGAGATGAGGCCCACTCCGTCCAGAACAGCCTAATGTGCTCCATGAGACAGCACCTCCTGCCCTTGAGGTCAGGGAGGTGGCTGACCTGCTTCAGTGGCTTCAGGCTGACCTGCTCTGGGGCTGCAGGGGGCAGAACTCCTGTAGACCAGGCCTTTGTGCATGGCTCACAGAAGCAGGGCCTGGTTGTCTGGCTGAATTGGTTAGACACAGACCATTGCCCTTGACAACACCCATTCCTGTCACTTTGAGATCAGTACATATTGTCATGAGGTGCACCATGAGCATTTGCTCAGTTGAGTGTGGCATCCCTTCCAGGGCTGCTAGACAGGAGAAGGCACCACAGACTTGCAGATGTGAACCCACTCCCCCTCTACCCTCCATCGTCAGTCAGGCCCTCAAAGACCTGAAGATACCAGCAACCAAGGGAGCTCTGAGAGCCCCCTTTGAGAAAGCAGCACTGCTGGAAATAGGAAGCCAAGTAGGGGTCCCTAGGCAGTCAGGGGTAAGGGTTTGTAACTTCTTTCCAAGGTCACAGCATCACCAATGGTTTGAAAACCCAAGAGCAATGTCACCCCATCTCTACGATGAGTCTGGCAATGTGTGAAGGGACAGGGCAGGAAGATAGGAGGAGGGGGTAGGTATAACTACCTGTAGACACATGAGGTCCTATAGCAGGGGAGTAGAGGGTTCAGGGTGAGTTTCCAGAATAATGGTCATTTGGGGACCAAGAGAGGGTTCAGTCACAGGGGGCAGAGGTAGGAGGAACACCCAGGCTGAACACTTCGGGAGATCTGTGTGGTCTGCTCACCTAAGCCAGGGGTGCAGCCTTGTAAGAGAAGCAGAGCTCAAACTCAGTGGCTAGGTGGGGTGGGTGACATTGAAAGATTGCTTTCAAGAGATTGAAAGCCAAGAGCCAGAAGCTGAGGCATGATGGAATGCAGACAGGGAGAGGTTGACAGAAGCCACAGGGCACAGGTAATCTCACAGGCAATGCCTTGGTCTCGTGCCCCTATGGGGCCAGCTCCATAGTGCAAGGGGCACTACCTCACTTTGCTGTCATCTCTAAGCCGCTGACCTTGAATAGAATTAGTGCTCCAAAGAGTCTAACATGGGCCCCAGCTGAAGAGGATTGCAGGTAAACCAGCTTTCACAGGCACCCCACTTCACAGTGCTGGAGGTCCTGTCCCATGCACCACTTCACCTGTGCCATGGTTCTCAAACTTCCCCCCCATGGTCATTCTGATGTCAGTGGTCTGGACACACTATGAGAAACACCAATTCAGGGTTTCACAACTCACAATGACCCCATCAGATCGTGTGGTTGCTATATTGCTGTAGTCCCCACTTTTCTGGTAAGGAAACAGGCTCAGCTGAGCTAAGGAACATGTCTAAGGTCTTAAGTTATAAAAGTAACCTCAAGCTTTCTTGGGGTCACCACACTAACAGGGGGTTATAGGATCTAGGAGGGTCTAAGCAGGAGAATGGGATGAGCCAGCGCCCCTCTCCCACCCTGCTTTCTCCACCTAAATACACCCTGCCTTTCAGACTCACCCCCACCCAAAATGGCTTCCTTTCATGTCAGCCAACTGCTAGTTCTCCAAGGTTCCTTGCTTCACTGAACCCCTCCTGTTAGTGAAGCATCCCAGAGACCCTAATTCCTGGGAAGGATACAGGCCCGTATGTGGACCAGGAAGTCAAGGAGGTGGGGCTGCAGTATGACTTTTGAGAGTCCTTGCTCCATTAAATTTAAAAAAAAAAAATTTTTTTTAATGTTTATTTTTGAGACAGAGAGAGAGCATGAACGGGGGGCGGGGGGGGGGGGGGCAGAAAGAGAGGGAGACACAGAATTGGAAGCAGGCTCCAGGCTCTGAGCCCTCAGCCCAGAGCCCGACGCGGGGCTCAAACTCACGGACCGTGAGATTGTGACCTGAGCTGAAGTCGGGCCCTTAACCGACTGAGCAACCCAGGCGCCCCCATTAAATTTTTTAAATTATACTTTACAAATGCATTGATATAAAGATGAATATATTAATATCATATATTAAAACATTTTCTTTGATCTAAAAGTTCATTTATTCTAGCTTTAAAAGAAAACATTTTCATGGGCCTCTCTTGGTAGCAGAAAAATGCCCCACCCCCAAAGATGTCCATGTTTTCTTTTCATAACTGGAATCTGTGTTGATGTTAGAGTACATGGCAAAGGAGAATCAGAGTTGCAGACAGAATGAAGATTTCACGTCATCTAACTTTAAAATAGGGAGGGGCGCCTGGGTGGCTAAGCATCAGACTTCTGTTCAGGTATCTCGCAGTTCTCAAGTTCAAGCCCTGTGTCGGGCTCTGTGCTGACAGCTCAGAACCCGGAGCCTGCTTCGGATTCTGTGTCTCCCTCTCTCTCTGCCCCTCCCCCATTCGTGCTCTGTCTGTATCTCTCAAGAAATGAATACACGTTAAAAAATTTTTTTTTAATTAAAAAAAATAGGGAGATTATCCATGTATCATCTGGGCAGCCCAAAGTCATCACAGGGTCTTTAAAAATGGAACGGAATCAGAGGAGGCAGTCGGAGAGGTGGCAGCGTGAGGACTTGTCCTAATGTTCCTGGCTTTGAAGATGGAAGAGGCTGCCAGCCAAGGAATGGGCAGTCTTTAGAATCGGTAAGGCTAAGGAACGGATTCCCCCCAGAACACCCAGAAATTCAGGCACACATGCTGCCGACACTAGGAACTTAAGGCCCATTGAGAGCTCTGCGGACTTCTGATCTCCAGAATCATAAATAAATAAATTTGTGTTAAGTTTGTGGTAATTGTCACAGCAGCAATAAGAAACTAACACAA